GGGATTTCGTACCAATGACTTGGACTTGGGACTTGATACCAAAGATTTGGACTCAGAAGGACTTGGGAGTCAGACCTGCCAACATCCTTGCCTGATACAGCCTGGTGACATTATTCAAAGATCCTAGTTAGCCTCTCAATGGTTGGAATGTCCAACTCTTGGACTGCATCCAGTCTCCTTCTCCTTTTTATTGATTTTGGTCTGCATTTCCTGGCACAGCATTCTTTTGCTTTCCCTTTGTCAGACCCGAGAATGCCATATGGAACATGTGAGATGCCATATGGGTGGCCAGGGACTCTCAGTATCTCTCTGTGATTGCCTCATGACTCCATAAAGAGCCCTGGTTTTCCAGTCGTGTTTGACTCTAGGGGGCGGTGCTCATCCCCGTTTCCAAGCCATAGAGCCAGCGTTTTGTCCGAAGACAATATTCCGTGGTCACATGGCCAGTGCAACTTAGACACAGAACACTGTTACCTTCCCACTGAGGTGGTCCCTATTGATCTACTTGCATTTGCATGCTTTTGAACCGCTAGGTTGGCAGGAGCTGGGACAAAGCGACAAGAGCTCACTCCATCACGTGGATTTGATCTTACGACGGCTGGTCTTCTGACCCTGCAGCAGAGGCTTCTGCGGTTTAGCCCACAGCGCCACCACGTCCCTCTAAACATCCCGAACTACGCATCCCTAATTTCAGTATTTGAAAATCTGAGGCTAAAGCATGCAAGGGTGTTTTATACATGGCAGTATTGGGTAGTTAGCAAATTTTATAGGGCATCAAAAGTTAATAACTGCTATTATTCAAAAGGTGACTGATTTGCAAAGCTAGGTAGCTGGAAGATGCAACCATTCTGAGATCTCACCGGAACACTTTGGGTGCCAAAAGTGTTTTGTACGCAATACCTCAAGTAATCCTGAACAAACTCTTTTTGGTATTACTGTAATCTCCACATGTAGATGGGAAAGATCAGATCTGGAGGTGATCAGTTGTTTAAAGAGCTAAACTTTACAGGCAATCACGTATTGCATCAGAAAACTTGTGACACTGTACATCTATCCGTTGGAAAGGTGCCACCGAATTCTTGATTGTTGTCCAAGTTCCTATGCCACTCAGTACCACTTGCTGGGCAGTACCAGATCTGAGTGGAGTATTGTTTTCGTGGCCTCCTTCTAGACTTCCCAGAGATATTTGTGAAGGGTTGTGCCTTCGTGGCACATGTTTTGTATGCAAAGGCTCTGTCCCTGGAACCTCTAGTTAAGGTTGGGAAAGACTTCCCTCTAGAGGTGTGAAAATCAGCATCTTTCATTGCCATCAACATGGGTCTCTGGCAACAGATGGGAAACCTTGACATCTGAGCACTCAGCCTGGAGGCAGGCGGTGCATGACGGCCTCTCCCAATTTGAAGAGACCCTTGTCCAGCAGGCTGAGGCAAAGAGGCAGTCCCGAAACCAGCCAAACCAGGGAGCTGGACAGGGGACAGGCTGTATTTGTCTTCAGTGTGGAAGGGATGGTCACTCTCGAATTGGCCTCCTCAGCCACACCCATACAGGGCACGTTACCATAGTGTCTCGAGACTGAAGGATGCCTAATCATTGCCATCACTCTCCTCAGAAACCTATTCACATTTCCTCACAATTCCTTGTTGAGATGTGAATCTCTTGCCTCGTTCCTCATGTACTTTGGTGAACATTTTTGTGTTTTTTCTCAGCATGTTAGCATTTTAATGATAATAACATCATGAACAGTTTTTTCCATAATAACTAAGGCCTATTTGGGTGTATTTTCTCAAATATATTTTATTTCATTTTTTATCAGTTATTTTAGTTTATTGGAATTTGCAAATTGCACTACAGTGGTGCCCCACCTGACGACGATAATACGTTCCAGGTAAATCGCTGTTAAATGAAATTGTCGTCAAGTGAAAAAAAAACCTTTGGAATGCATTGAAAACCGGTTAATGCATTTCAATAGGGAACTACCTCATCGTCCAGGGAAGATTGCCCATAGAGAACCGCCAATCAGCTGTTTAAAATTGCTGTCTTCCGAAGCTTCTGTCTGGAAAACAGCCATTTTGCGAAGGGAAGCCATTTTGCGGAGCCGGAAAAAACATTGTTTTGCGAACAAACGGTTTGCGAAGCAGGGACCTAATCAACGTAAAGCGGATTTTCCCCATAGGAACCATCGTTTTGCAATCGCAATATCAATCGCAAAAAAGTCATCGTCAAGCGATTTCGACGTCATGCGGGGTAAGCGTCTAGTGGGGCACCACTGTATATGTGTTAAGGTGTTAAAAATATTACCTGTACATATTTGTTTAATAGGAACCAAACACACACACACCCAATTTCCTTCAAGAACATCACAAAATACATTGGATTTTTGCAGAGTAAAAGAAATAATGTTGTGGTCCTCCATTGTCCTGTGGGCGGACATGAAAACCAATGATTTACATCCTTGCCCCCAGAGAGTAAAAATATGACCCTGGAAGAGCTGGATTTGAACCTTTGGCCTGGGATTTCCCCACCTGTGTTGTAGGCCACCTAGGTGTATCAATAGTCTGACTATACTGCATTAGCCGTGCACGGCAGGAGAGGAAGCTGAACACCTTCCATATGCGTTGTCTCCGACGCATTTTTGGTATCACCTGGCAGGACAAAGTTCCAAATAGAGTAGTCCTAGAACGAGCTGGAATTTTCAGCATGTATACAATATTGAAACAGCGCCGTCTACGTTGGCTTGGGCACGTCGTGAGAATGGCTGATGGTCGGATTCCAAAAGATCTCCTGTATGGAGAATTAGTGAAGGGAAGCCGCCCCCGAGGGAGACCACAGCTGCGTTACAAGGACATCTGCAAGCGGGATCTGAAGGCCTTAGGAATGGACCTCAACAGATGGGAAACCTTGACGTCTGAGCGTTCAGCCTGGAGGCAGGCGGTGCATCATGGCCTCTCCCAATTTGAAGAGACACTTGTACAGCAGACCGAGGCAAAGAGGCAGTCCCGAAACAAGCAAAAGCAGGGAGCTGGACAGGGGACAGATTGGATTTGTCTCCAATGTGGAAGGGATTGTCACTCTCGAATTGGCCTTCTCAGCCACACAAGACACTGTTCCAAGACCTCCATACAGAGCACGATACCATAGTCTCTCGAGACTGAAGGATGCCTACACACTGCATTAGCTGGCTTCGTAAGTTCACCACTATGAGAAAGAGGACACTGGAGGTGATACAATTTTGGCTCCAGCTGTGCTTTTCTTATTGATAAAATTTTGGCTCCAGCTGTGCTTTTCTTATGTTCTAGACCAGTGGTGCCCAGCCTTGGTTCCCCAGATGTTCTGGGACTAAAACTCCCAGAAGCCTTCATCCTTCATCACAGTTGTGCTGGGCAGGATTTCTGGGAGTTGTAGTCCAGGAACATCTGGGAACCCAAAGTTGGAAGCCAGTGGTCTAGAAGAACACAACCCCCAATGATGTATTTGAGCTTCAGGGACTTTACCACTAATTCAGACATGATCTGATATCTAGCAAGCTTGATTCCTACTTAGGTGAAACACCTGACTCACATACCATGAATACTTTTCTCTCCTTCATATTTTTTATGATGCTCTTATTTGGTGGGGATAAGGGGGGTTGAGATAATTAAAAGGTGCATATAAATTACCTGCATTCTTCCTTTTAATAATGTGGTAGAAAGTTAATGGTGATGATGTGTCTCTTTAGTCATCTATAATGTTAATTACTGAAGATTAGCTGGCATTTGGCGATATGATTCACAAAGTCCTATTGTTAAGCAAATCTGTAAATCTGTTTGATTTAGGTGAAACGAGGATGTGAGAGGTTTGTACAGAAAGAGGCGGGATGGGGGGGGGGGAAGAGGAGGGGGGGAGAGATGAAAGACATGACACCGGTATAATCGGTGCTTCTGCTGTTCAGAAGACCAAGGTTTATAGCAGTCAACCTGGTGGATAAAATTTTGGAGAGTGAGGATTCGGCTGAGAGATTAGATCAGCTACAAATTGCTGAATCTGATGACTTAGATAAAAATTTCACCAGAGGCTTCAAAAGAAGGAGAACGTGTTTTGTTATTGCCCCATACAATGTAAAGCTTGGTGGAGAATAATATATAGTGACAACCTACCTGGATTCTATTTCTGGGCTCTCCTGGACAGTATACTGAGGGGGGAGGCACAACCTACTTGAAATCAGCATACATTGCAGGTGGTACAAATTTTTGCATGAAGTATTTATATATTTATTTATTGCATTTATATGCCGCCCATCTAGACATAGTCTACTCTGGACGGCTCACAACTTAGAAGATAAAAACAATTTAAAATATACAGTTTTACATTAAAAACAAAATGATATAAAATGTAATATAAATTTACGATTTTAACAGTTAATTTAAAGCAAAGAGTCCCAAGATGGCAAGAATAAAAGAAATTTCTGTCTTATGTGTATTGGGAGGAAAATGCATGATGTCCGTAAATTTCTCTTCCAATCCCACAATTGTTGTAAGCTGCCCAGAGACCTTTGGGGAGTGTGGGCGGCATATAAGCAAAATAGACAGATAGACAGACAGATAGACAGACAGACAGACAGACAGACAGACAGAGAGACAGACAGACAGATAGATAGATAGATAGATAGATAGATAGATAGATAGATAGATAGATAGATAGATAGATAGATAGATCTGTTTTTTCCCTTGTCAACTCCCTCCATCGTCCAGGTTCAACATCTGTTCACAGCAAACAAGAATAGCACAATATGGATGATCTTGGCATTGTCTCCAGCTGCACATCCTTACACGTACAGATCTTTTCCATTCTAGTTCCCTTTCAGCCATTCATGCATTAAAGGGCACTTTAAGGATGAGTAGCAGAATTTTGACAGGACTTGTTCAAACGTTATGCTGTTTTCCCATCGGTCTCCAATGTAGTTTCTTGGAAAATAAGAGAAAGATCAGCAGAATAAATTGACCCAAGTTACTTTTTCCACATTGCAAGGAGTGACACTGTTACAAACTCAGCAATGGGTAAGAGGAAGGCATTGCTCAGAGCAAGGGGGCAAAATAACATTGCAAATAATACGGCAATTCATACTAATTCTTGGGATGTAGCATGGGTGCCTACTGTCCAAAAGAAACAGCATTCACAAGACATATTGTGCCTAAATCAGCTCTCCAGGCTGAGACTTTATAATATATTACAGAGAATGACTCTCCAGGAACTGTTCAGTTAGGTAGCATCCATCAGATAGACGTAATCCCTTGGTTCTGCAAAGCACACAAGCAGATAGTTAACTTTAAATATATGAGCAATTATCTTGACATTGGTGGATTTAAATGCTTAAACAGTAGCACCTTCCATTACCTGCTTTCATGGAAACTGTCTAATCTACCCAGCAGAATGAGGTAGCTGTGTCAGTTTCTTCAGCTTGAAGAGCTGCCTTCCATCCCCTTGTCGGAAGAAAGGCAGCCTATACCTAAAACAAAAATAAAAACAAATAAATAAATAAACAGAAGCCCTGAAAACGACACGAAGACTACAACACTGACGTGGTGACCAAAAAGGATCATTTCCCCTTATATCAACCCATTACATGGGAAGGAGCCAGATGTATGTGAAAGTTTCTGAAAAGAAAGCAGCATGCATTTCCATTTTAAATAAGCCTTAAGTAATTTATAGTCAGGAGCTTCTTGGTCAACTGGTTGTTGATGAGGCTAATTGTTGTGTTTTGGTTGTGTCCCTGGGTGTGTTTTGGTTGTGTCCCTGGGTGTGTTTTGGTTGTGTCCCTGTTCTTGTGCCTAGCTGTGCATCTGAGATATGTCCCAATAAGTCACTTAACTACTGTTTCTTGCAGAAGCTACATCAACCTTTTGAAAACACCACAAAGGGGCAAGCCTATGTTATTTAGAAGGAACTTTGTACAATGAGTAGTATAAACGAGTTACTTTTTAAAAAAGGAAAAATCTAGTAATGTCAATGGCTTACTTTTTCTCAAAGCACAGCTAATGCTACCAGATTTGCTTTAATGTTTCCAAGCTCTGCTCTGAAAAATTCCCTGGTCTTTATTCTTCTCCTTCCTCCTGCAGTGCATGAAATAGAGCAGGACGATATAACTGAAAAGCCATATATCTCTAACTAATAAGATCTTGTGGACAAAATGGGAAGAAAGAGGTATGAGAACAAGAGCAGACAAGAAAAGAAGGCAATGGAGAAGATGTGAACGTGATGTATCATCTCAGTAAATAGTGTGTAAGGGGAGTAACTTTTCTTATTTAGCAACATGCACTATCTAGAAAAAAATATTCCCGTCACCGCTGATATGAGAGCTGATAAGCAAAGAAAAACAGATCCTTGCCCCAAGGATCTTAGATTCTGAATGTTTCAGGTTGGGAGAGTCAGCTAGTGGAAGAGTCCATTTCAAGTACTCTGATTAAAGGTGGGCCTGAGGGCTGCCATGAGCGCGGCTGAAGGCTCAGCTGATTTCAGTTTTACATTTCCTTGTGTCCTTAGGGTTCAATTCAGTTGTTCATCTTAGAGCAGTCCCCGGGAACATGTGAAAGTACTGACTCATCAAAGTGTCATTGGTTCAATGGGTCTAGCTGGGAGTAACTACAGATTTAACCCTAAACATTTATGTTTGAATTGTTTCCGTTTCTCTGGGTTCTGATTTCTGTTTTCCCCAGACTGGATGGCAGGGAAATGATGAAGATAAGGAATTTTCATAAGGAAAGCCGTAGTTCTTAACACCCACTGAGCACAAGTTGCTTACAATATACTGCTCTGTAACACAGGATCATGATGTAAGTCTGGGAAGATTAATTTTGAGTAGAGCTGGACACAAACTGAACTATGAACCAAAAAAGCCCGCACAACGGGGTTGGTTTGGGTGTTTGGTTAGTGGATCCTCTTTTGTTGAAATGAAGTGCTGAATGGATGCCCCCTGCCTGCTACCCCCCCCCGTTGCGTCTCTACCTGGTCCTGACTCCTTCTCTTTTGCTGCCATCTTTAGAGAGAGTAGTCCGGCTTCCCTTCCAGGATCCGGGCCTGCGGCCTCTGCACATGTGCATGCCTATCAGCCAGGGAGGAGAGGAGTATCAGAAAAGGGATGGGGTGATAGTTTCCAACCCCCCCCCAGCACAAACCAGAAAAACGGATTGTGAGCTGATTCATTTTTATAGGTTTTGGAGGTAGTTCTTGGTTTGTGGGTAGCCACAAACCTCCCAAATTCATTGTTTTTCGGTTCATGCTCATCTCTAATCTTGAACATAAAACTGAAGCATGTTGATTGGCACATTAAATGGTCAGAACCGGAGGATTTCCCTTGCCATTCCATTTTTCAGTGTTCCCATTTGTTTTTCATATTTCAGTAGCCTGTGATCAAATGTGGTGACCAGACCAGACCACTATCTGCGCTGTGGCAGTACAACGATACAGCACTCCGAACGTTTCCCAGTAATATTACATCCAACGTTATGGAGTCAAGTATTATCTCTGTAATGCAGATGGGAAACGAGCAGCTTGATTGTGCACATGTTTCCTCAGAAGTAAGTCCCATTGACTTCAACGGGATGTATTCCCAAGTGAGTAAGACAGTGTGCATAGGTGTAGGAGTGCTGCCTGAGGCGGAGCGATAGTGGCCTCCTACCGAACGAGTAGGAAGCAGAGGTAAAATTTCAACAGCCGGCTCATTAGCTGCTTTACCTGCTCTCAAATATTAATGTTTGACTAAAATATTTGACTAAACTATCTAATTATAATATCACTCTCACTCTGATAAGGATAAACAACTCCTCCATCATCCTGTTGAAGAATCGGATCCTTATCTGCGTGAGCAGGCTTCTCATCACTGGGAGTTTAATATAAATTCATTAGAATATTAATCCCGATGCCTTTTTGTCAAAATTAATTTGATGTGCCAATTCTATCTATTTCAAATGTTAACTGTCTGATTATCAGCTGAATCCTGCTCTCTCTCTCTCTCTCTCTCTCTCTCTCTCTCTCACACACACACACACACACACACACACACACACACACACACACACACACACCCCTCCTGAGGACAAAATGTGTGCCAGCTTGGAAGTAATAATTATAGTTATATGCACCAAAGTGTTTATTAAATTATCAAATTAATACACCTCTTGGCATGTTGGGGTTTGTGAGTAATTATAGTTTAGCACTGTGGTAATAATTTGCAAGATTTATGTAACCAATGAAGCAGTGATTAGAGCCAAAAAGCTGTCTGGAATAATTACACTGAAGAGGTATGATCAACAGGTAATGCCCGCCAAAAGAACACAGCCCTGAGGGTGAAAGACACAGAGAAACAAAAAAGAGAAAAGGAAAAGAGGGGAGAGGACCCAGAAATGAGTTTGAAGTATTCCTTTCAGAGTGGACTGTTTTCTTACCTGAACTGCAGCAGCCCACCCACTGCTTCGTAGGGCTGTCATGTCTCCGGAGACTCAGATCTGGAGATTTAGGAGAAAAAAGGCCCAGAAGATAAATCTTTAGGCCACATACTGTGTGACAAGGGTTTTGGAACTATTTGCAAAGCTTGAGAAAAAAATTTACATTTTTGAACCACAACAGTTCCTAGAAGCTTCTCATAATTCTGGAAGCCATCTTTAAAAAAGCAGCATTTCTGAGTTCTGCAACTGAAGAAGCAAGGGGATGTTGAACGGAAGGTGGGAGAGGCGCTTAAATGCATTGGGTCATTCAACTCAAGCTGAGAACGCCCTATGAATCCATGTTGAAAATAGCCAAGCCACTGGGGTTTTCTCTTCCTCATCACAGAAAGTGATGTGGAAAAAGTCAATTTTGTTAAGATCCTCGCAGTCCCCCCCTGCATTCCTGCCCTGCCCTTTCTTCTTACTGGGTGGCAAGATTTTGCCTTTCATTCCTCCATGGAAATCTATGTAGAGTTTCCGTACACATTGAAATGGGTCACAGCAGTAGGTCTGGACCTACATAGCCACCACATGCTTGATCACCTTGCTCATAAAGGGTATGTTGGTGATCGGAGGGAAGCGATCAAGCTTATCTGTCACCAACTGAGGACACTTAATAATGGGTTGGATGATAGTTTCTTTTACACGTGAGGGAAGAAATCCCTCCCTCAGTTAAGAGTTCACAGTCCTCATGACCCAGTCTGCCTTAGCCCTATTGGCAGCTTTTACAAGCCAAGGATTGTTGTCTATTTATGGTTTACTCTTATATGCTTTTATTTATTGTTGTAAATTGACCAGAATAGGGCATTGCACTAACAGGGTGGTATATAAAGAAAATAAAAATCAATAAATAATAGTACCACTCCAATCTTCTTTGGTCAGACCTCACCTGGAATAATGAGTTCAGATCTGGGCACCACGGTGTACAAATGAATATGATGGACAAAACTGTGTCGACATTATGTTGGAGTTGCAAAAAAGAGAAGGGGACGTATTTACATATGTGGTGGCTATGTGAAAAAAGAAAGAAAGAATGGAAATTAATATTTAAAGAAATATCTGAAATAATTGGATTGAATATTCCAATGTCTCCAATAATAGCTTTATTGAATATGATTAAAGATCAACTGGCGAAAGAAAATAAGGATTTAATAGTAATAATGATTATGGCAGTAAGGATAATTATGGCAAGGAATTGGAGAAATGAAAATCAATATAACTTGGAGGAATAGTATAGAGAATTATGGGACATGGCAATTAATGATAAACTGACATGTGACATGAAAATAAGTAGAGGCCAAATGAAAAATAACGATTTTAAGAAAATATGGAATGTATTTTTAGAACATGTATTTCGGAGAAGGAGGGGGTTTACACCGAAGGAAGATACAATGAAATTCTGGAGTGAAAATGGATGGAATGTAGTGTAATGCTAGTCCTGAAGGTGATGGGTGCACATGGGTAATTGTACTGTTTTGTTTTGTATTTTATAGTTTTTTTTTCTGTAGTAGTAGGTGTATTTTGTATTCTTTTAATAAAATTTTTAAATTTAAAAAAAACACCAAATGATATTCTCCAAAGGAGAATGGCTGGAATGGAAACGGTCTGGAACTCAACTCTAACAGTTTGGGGAAACTGGCTATATTTAGCCTAGAGAAGACTGAGAGGTAACATAACAGCTGTCTCCAAATATTTGAAGGGCGGTCATGTGGATGATGGACCAATTTTGTTTTCTCCGGTTCCAGTCAGGAGGAGCTGAATACAAAGATAAGAGAAAACCAAATCAGAGCAAAGCTTAAGAAGGTGGTAGCACCTTAAGGACCAACTGTTATATTTCAGGGAAGAGGATGGTAGCACCTTAAGGACCAACTGTTATATTTCAGGGTAAGCTTTTGTGGATTAATCCACTTTGTCAGATACACCAGAGCGGGTGACACGAAGGTATGCCTGCACATAGGTAGGCACAGAGAGGTGACAATGGCATTATTGACGTAGGTAATTAACTGTGGGAATGTTGATTCCATGGCCTGGATAGTTTCACACTTGTTGTGAAGTGGAAAAGACAGCAAGTTTCTTCCAGGGTCAACTCTCGCAGGGAGCAGCCGATGGCTTTTTTAAAGAGTATTTATTTATTTATTTATTTATTTATTTATTTATTTATTTATTTATTTATTTATTTATTTACATACCTAACATAAAAAAAACCAAAAAAGCCCACACTCAAAATATAACAATAATAAACAAAAGACATCCAAACCAAACATCCATCCTACCCCTCTAGAATCTGAGATTCCGCCATCGGCTGGTCATCCGAACATAATCAAAGGATTCCAGTGAGCACTAATTCGTTATAAACTGATTTCCCCCACTAAGTTCCTGTCTTTTTATGGGCCCAATTATATACCAGCTTCCAGCTTTGCTTCACAAAGTCTCTCGGTTGATCCCGTAGCGTCTCTGAAAGCATATCTAGTTCTGCAATGCCCAATAGCTTCTTTAATAGCTCATCCATCATTGGGTGTCTCTTCATTCTTCCATTTTTCAGCCCAGAGCAACCTAGCTACAGTTAATATATACATTGGACTATATTTTGTTTTCTTATCAATAATTTCTGGCATGATATTCAATGGCAAAATTTCAGGTTTAAAGCTTAATTTTTGCTGAACAATTCCTTGTGACATTTCCCAAACCTGTATTTTTCGCATGACCACCCCATATGATAATAAGTTCCAGGATTTATTTTACTTTTCCAACAAATATGACTGATCCCTTCTGACATTTTTGCCAATCTTACCGGGGTAAAATGCCATCTATGGAACATTTTGAGAATGTTTTCTCTAAGACTGACTGGCTTAATCATTTTATAATTATCTTTCCACATTTTTGTCCATTCATCGATATTACACCCAAAACTTTGTACACATTTACCATCACCTCCATCAGCAGCTGATGGCTTTAGGGATCTAATAAAAGGATCACTTACCTTTGTCTCTGCATAGTCTGGGAGAAAGTCCGATGCATGCAAAATAAAGTAGGGAAGGGTGCTTAATAATGTGTGAAACTATGCACGATATGTAATCAACATTCCCAGTTAATTACTTGTGTCAATTACACAAGTTGATTACCAGCTGTTTGACTTTGGAACAAACTACCTCGGACAGTGGTGGGTTCTCCATCACTGGAATTTTTTAAGTAGAGGTTGGAAGGCCACCTGTCAGGGCTGCTTGAGCAATAGAGTTTCAGCTTCTGCAGACAACTTGATGACCTAGGACAGTGGTCCCCAACCTTGGGCCTCCAGATGTTCTTGGACTTCAACTCCCAGAAATCCTGGCCAGCAGAGGTGATGGTGAAGGCTTCTGGGAGTTGGAGTCCAAGAACATCTGGAGGCCCAAGGTTGGGGACCACTGACCTAGGAGATCCCTTTCATCTCACCCACTTGGGGATCCAGAGCAGCACAGGAATGCCCTGAGATTCTCCCTGGTGTCTATAGAACCAGCAAGTCTATCAAGGTAGCCCATACAAGCAGGAACAGGGTTCCTAATGCAGTCCTTATCTTCCCATCTTGTGGAACATCATGGAGGAAGGAATGGATGGAGATGGAGCCAGTTTATTTTTTTCAAAGTCTCAACCCCACCCCAACAGACTTATTGTGTTGATTCTCTCCAATCAACGACCAGAACAACGTACCTAAATAAGAGTAGACAGAATATACAAAATAGGTGGCATTATTTGAAATGCAAAGCTTGGAGAAGTTACTTTTTTTGGAGTTCGCAAATTCCTCACAATTCCGGAAGATGTGGTCCAAAAATGCGTCTTTTTAATGTTCTGGAAATTACAACATGATGTGTCTATGTCAGACCTGGGCAAAGTGCGGCCCGAGGGCCACATACAGCCCGCAAGCCGTTCCTGTCTGGTCCGCAGACAGTTTTGAGCATCAAAATCATTTATAGCTTTTTGTCTAAAGTTGATCAGTTGCTTATCTTTAACATACCGCAAAAAACCTCTTTAGTATTTGTGAAGATTAACAAGTTTAAAATAAAAACAATCATAACATCACTGTTTCATTTTATTTTTAAGTAAAGTTGGTTCAGCCCCCAAACACAGTTCAGATTTTTCCCCTATAGAAATTAATTGCCCACTCCTGGTCTATGTGAAGAACTTGAACAGGGAGGCCCATAAATCTAGGACTGAAGCAACCCAAGAGCTTCTTTTGGTATGATCCTGCAAGCAATACAATTGCCAACAGCTCCCCCCATTCCCTTCATACCAGTGCCAGCCACAATGGGTGCTTCCAAGACCCTGGAAGAACAACTTTCCATGCCCAGGATGGTGCTACAACTCTCAGTTGCAGAATCCCGACTGGTTCTGAAATCAGGGAGAGGTGGCTCCTCATCCTACTTTCTGCTTCTGCTTCCGGAGAGGAGAGGTGAAGATGGAGCACCTTGTGAATACAGCTTTTGGGTATCTGCATTCAACCTGTATAATTTCCTCATACTTCAGAATGTTTCTTCTGTCTCTCTCTTTTCAAAGAATCATGAGATTTTGTAGTGTTGGACTCTAAGACTCAAGGCAGGAATCCCAATCAAAGTAGATCTGACAGATGTTTTTCTAACCTTTTCTGGAATTCCTCCATCATTGGACCTCTTACTTTTCTCTTGCCCTAGTCTCTTCTTCATCATCTGGTCACCTCCACTCCCCTCTCCTAGTTTCCTCACCAGCATCTTCAAACTTCTCCCTTAAAGGAGAATGATTTTACGTTTGTCCCCTTCAGGCCTCTGCTGCCTCATTGGGTCTTCTGAGAGGAATAACCCTTCAGGAGAGGTGCTTTCTTTGCCGAGCTGAGAATCCATCAGAGTGAACTGACTGGTGGTACTCAGCTAGTGTCTGAAGAATATCCTCAGCACATACATTGCTTAGTGGTCTTCAGGGAGATGAGTGACTGAGAATCCATCAAAGTGGACTTATTGGTGATACTCAGCTAGTGTCTGAAGAATGTCCTTAGAACATACATTGCTTAGTGGTCTTCAGGGAGACCAAGGTGGGTGGCAGCTGGTGGCCAGTGCCTCATTTTTAAAGGTTTCCAGACAGTATTTCTTTCCTCTCCAAATGAACAAAAATAAAAGAAGGACATGGCAGAGCATCCTGCAAGTAGAAGAAAAGTCACCTGAGAAGCACATTGGTGTCCAGGGGCACCATATTTGCCAACCACCATTTTCTAGCCCATTTGCATCCAGTATGAGGACTTCCCCAAAATCTTCACTTGGGTAAGTGAAGTGAACCAGGTTATGGTTTCTAAGATTGATGGAGAAGCTAATAAGATGGAGAAGCTGATAAAGGCAATAAGGAACATTTTTTAAAAAGACTTAAAACAGGGATACAATTTATTTGGTATGGGACCCTTTCATTAAAAAAGTATCAACATTTCTTCCATGTATTAACCTCAGAGTTAACCCGTGTCAGCTTATAGAGTGGCTCTTTTAATTGACGTTCACGTTCACTTGCTGTTGTTAATGATGGAGTATGGCTCTTGATGAATTGTACAAACAGTGTATTGATGGTGGTTTGTTCTACATAGAGTAATATAGATAGATTGATTGATTGTTCTCCAGATCAGATCACAGAAACATTCTCTTCTGGATAGCAACTCTTAGGATCCTTTAGCCAACAAGATCAGTGGCTATGCCAACCGTAGGGTTTCTGGGCAACATAGTACAAAAAGGGTAATTTTTTCCCCCCAATTTGCGCTCCAGATCTTGCTCCAGGTTGCCCACCTCTGATCTATCCAATATGCAACACGAATGGGTCCATTCAAAGATCAGTGTTTGACCATCGCCAAGAACATTACAAGCCTGAGAGTCCAAAATCATTCGGAAAAGGAAGCCACATTTATCTACAGTAACTCCTGCCTAGGCTACCAGGGGGGGTTTGCGAAAGTTTAATTCTTCCCTGCGTAATGTATTTCCAATCAAGGAATTTTCCAAATGTTCCTGCCATGGGCTATAGGGCTTGGTACATAAAGGTGCAGACTAGAAACCATTTGGTGCCATTTATAAATTAGGGCTTGTGGGAGATGGCTGCCAGGATAAACAGCAGCTATACACAAAAATTGGCTTGGGATGCTACTGTTTATTTTCAAACAAACCCCATCACTTGGGCTCCACAGCGCAGATTTGGGTTCTATAAACTGGCTGAAGTCCTAAAACAGCTTTGCCCGCCCAACTTCCTTCTATTTCAGTGGGGTTTGGGCCAACGTGAAGCTTTAAATTCAAGCCGAAACACATACACCAAGCAATGCCTTTGGACTTCAGGGCTTAAAGATGTTTTTCTTGGGCTACGATTCATAAAATCCCCAGCCACCATGCTGGCTGGGAGCTTCTAGGAATGGTAATTCAAAACAAATTACAATCAGAGGATTCTGGGAGTTATACTCCCAGGACACACATCTGTGTGCTCCCAAGTTTACTGGTAAACATTTAAGTCGGGAGAGAATGATCAATGGACCTCCAACCCAGCTGTGAACAGAAAGGAGAAGTTGCCAAAACAAGACAATAATTCTGACGTGACGCTTTGAACCACCACAGATTGAAATATCTTTTTTCTCTCTTCCGCCTACTATGTAATATTTCTCCCTGAAGTAAAAAAAAAAGTAACTTTCCCAAGTTCGCCACGTGGGTCTCTTTCACTTGGAGCGAATTCTAGTGATTGTTCTCGCCCACCCATCCCTTCTCTGTTGCCAAGTCTATGAACAGAGATGGGCATGAACCTGCCAGGGCCCAAATTTGCCACAGTTGTATTCAACAGGGACACCAGGACCAAGCAAACAGCACAGCGTGCGAAGCTCAAACACATACTAACCAGGATAGGAGCATAGGAACAGAAACCAGAGCACCGAGACTGGAACCAGGCCACAGGCCCTGAGCAGGAATGCGTGGTCAGGCGAACAGGAACATGGGCAAAAACCTACGTTGCTGAGGCAGCTTCCTGGGGGGGGGGGAGAGTTATTCCTTAAGTAGGCCTCCCCTTAGGACTCCCAGGTGGACCTCATGAGAGCCCCAGCAGCTGCTGCCCCGGCAGGGCTTGATCCTGCAAACCCTGGGCTCCTCCTGGGACCAAGCTGGCCCCAATCCTGCAACTGCCAGGGCGGTGGTGCAGGGGATACCTTGCGGCCACCCAGATCCTGACAGAACCGAACCGCAAACCAGAACAGCTGACAAACTAGGCTGGTTTATGGTTTGGTTCGTGATCTGGTTTGGGGGATCCCATTTTGCTGGAGCAAAACGAAGCAACAAAGTTTTTTCTCCCCTCCTCAGCCCTTCGTTTTGCTTCTACAAAACGGGATGCCTGCCTGCCCCCTTCCCATCACCCTCATCGCCTCCCTACCTGGTCCTGCTGCCACCACTTCCTGTCCTCCACCGCTATTCTCTGAGGCAGTGGGACTGGCTTCCCTGCCAGAAGCTGGGCCTGTTGCTTCTGCACATGCGCCTGCCTATCAGCTGGTTCGTGCCCACCTCTAGGCATAAAGAAAAGTTTCCCAAGACTGAGATATTTGGGGTGCAATCTGTACCCCAAAGAGTTAAAAACCAGAGGAAAAGCCAAAACAACAACAACAACAACACAAAAACAAAACCCATTGGCTTGCAAACCCTCTTGAACTCTTCTTTTCATGCATTGACTGGATTGAACTATCTTCTGTTGAAGGGAGACGCAGCATGTCTATAAAGAGTTGTAGCTCCTTTTCAACAGAATCCTGAATTGTAGTGGCAATTTATTTAAAAACCAGAGCTCTTCTACTTTGCAGTGCTTCTGGCATTGATGGTCCACAATAAGCATACATTCTTGAATAAAGATGGAAACGAACTGCTGAACTGGCAGTTCGTGCTGGCTTGTGTTTCGGCTGAACAGGTGTTCGGTGCTTCCCAGCCCTGCCTCCTATGGCAGGTGCCCACTCAGAGGCAGGGCTCTGGCTTGGCTTCCCTGCCTCCTCTGGCAGGGCCCACTCAGAGGCAGCGCTCTGGCTTCCCAGCCCTGCCTCCTCTGGCAGGTGCCCATTCAGAGGCAGGGCTCTGGCTTCCCAGCCCTGCCTCCTCTGGCAGGTGCCCACTCAGAGGCAGCACCCTGCATTCCCTGCCCCACCTTTTCTGGGAACTGCTCCAATGTTCGGCCAAAGAACTACAGTGGTCCGTGCCCATCTCTAATTGTGAACTAACTTGTAAAAAAATCGGTACAGAGACGGCTCCTTTTTTGTAGGGCTTTGGATCACAGCAAAGGCTTAGGTGGGATAGATCCATTGCTCAGTTCCCCATGTGGTGGAGTGGATAGGACTAGGACTCTGGAGAACAGGGTTTGCATCCCTGCTCAACCATAGAAACTCACTGAAGAGGTGGAATTGGTAAAACCACTTCTTAAACATATTGCTGGCCTTGAAAGCCCTATTAGGGTTGCTATAAGTCAGTTCTGACCTGACAGCACAGAACACACAAAGTCGACTCTGACCTGATGGCACATCAGAATGACAAATTGAATGGAAAGGGCAACAATGGTGCCAGTTGTTAGATAACACTCCTGTTTCCTTTGCACACATTACTTAATGTTTCTTAACCAGTTACTTCTAAGTTGTGTCTGCAAGTGAGACCTGAAGGCCATGTTGCTCCCCAGTAAGCTGAATTCAGAGGGGTGTTGTTCTAGATCATGGTGGCTGCAGGACCTCATAATGTCCACTAGCCACTCTTACCCTTATTCTCTATATCTTTTCTAATTTCACCTACAAGCCAAGTCTGCATCTTGTTTTAACTGCATGTTGTGCGAACAGAGATCTTTCCGTTTGCCTTTCCAAAATCCTCTGCTAGTCTGTTTCTTTAGTTCACTGATCTCTTGTAACATATCCTCTAGAAGAGTTACTTCTACCTTTGGTTCTACTCTTTATCCCAGTGAGTTAGGTTTTTTTCTTGTTTGTAAAGGCACAAAAACACCAGAGACTAAAAAAATCAGAGAGAGAGAGAGAGAAATGCAAAAAAATAACATACTGTGGTAAGAAAGGAATTCGGAATGTCTGTCCGAAGAATTTTCAAAAATGCTTTTGGTACATAGAGGAAGTTTTATTTGGGGGGCCACTGTAAATTAAGGTGGCCCTGAAAAAAAAAAAGATGAAAAAAGGAGAAAAGACAATAAAAGAATACGTGCAACAGCCAAGGAAATAGTTTGAAGTATTTCAGCGACTCTCGTTTTTCTCACTTTGCAAGGGGAAAAAAAAAACACTACACATGTTCAGTTGAGCTGCCAGTTACTTTTACATTTCCATTTCCAAGCAATTAATTAAAACTCCAAATCAGGTTTCTTTCTTGATTGTTGCCAGCAGGAGATGGTTGCTATGGCAATAGAAGGATCAGTAGAAATTGGGAAGGAGAAGGAGCAAGGGAAATGCACAGTTTTTTTAAAAAAAAGAAATGGAAACACAAGCCGCCCTGAGTAGACATGGTCTAGAGGGGCGG